ACTTTCCACATCAAGCAGATGTTCACCTGCACATCTGCCAATGTGGTGTACTGCATCCGCTTGTACCCGGTGTGGCTTCCTCTACATCGGGGAAACCAAGCGGAGGCTCGGGGACCGCTTTGCAGAACACCTACGCTCGGTTCGCAATAAACAACTGCACCTCCCAGTCGCGAACCATTTCAACTCCCCCTCCCATTTCTCAGACGACATGTCCATCCTGGACTTCCTGCAGTGCCACAACGATGCCACCCGAAGGTTGCCAGAACAGCAACTCATATTCCGCTTGGGAACCCTGCAGCCCAATGGTATCAATGTGGATTTCACAAGCTTCAAAATCTCCCCTCCCCCTACCGCATCCCAAAACCAGTCCAGCTCGTCCCCGCCTCCCTAACCTGTTCTTCCTCCCACCTATCCCCTCCTCCCACCTCAAGCCGCACCCCCATCTCCTACCAACTAACCTCATCCCACCCCCTTGACCTGTCCGTCCTCCCTGGACTGACTTATCCCCTCCCTAAATCCCCACCTACACTCACCTTTACTGGCTCCATCCCTGCCTCTTCGACCTGTTTGTTTCCTCTCCACCTATCCTCTCCTCTATCCATCTTCTATCCGCTTCCCACTCTCTCCCTATTTATTTCAGAACCCCCTTCCCCTCCCCCTTTTCTGATGAAGGGTCTAGGCCCAAAACATCAGCCTTTCTGCTCCTATGATGCTGCTTGGCCTGCTGTGTTCATCCAGCCCTGCAGCACGCTGTAGAGAGTTAACTGGATAGCTGTGTGCCAGCAGAACCAGAGGCCAGGAATTTTCCTTCTTTTGAAAATTGTCTGTCTTGCTGAGCCGACCTGTATAAGAATATATCAGTAATTCAACTACAGAAATGATAGCAGCTGCTGAATTTGACTTTGAGACAAAGAATTGCATCAATGAGTCCCAGGTGTACCACAGAATCTCGGTGAGACTTACAATTTATAAGCACTCTTTTGGTTTACCTGTATCTGCTTTAACCTTGGTATCTAAGTTTTAGTTGATTATATGTTTATTTCTAAGGAAGCTCCAGTGTTAGGTTGCAGTAAGTTAACCTGTAACCTGATTGAAAAGGAAGCTTGATTGCAGGTCAATTTTAATTTGCATCGTTACAAATTAAAAAGGGGTCTAAATGATTCATATCGATTCAGTGTGTTGATCACACTTTGGACCTGCCTAGTGATCAGAAGCAACATTCCCTCTAATTTTCTTGATGGCCATGTTACCTCTGAGGTGCATGGCAGAAATTTCCATATCCAGAAGTCAATACCATGATCATCGTGCACAGAACATTGGAGCAGTTGCTCCATGATTAAATTCTGTCTTCTTGAAGATGCCCATTGCCTAGCACTTATATGGCATGAATGTTACTTGACATTTGTCAGGTTAAACCTGAATATTGTCCAAATCATACAGCTATCGACATAGACTGCTTCAGTATCTGAGGAGTCGTGAAAAGTGCTGAACATCATACAGTTATCAGAAAACATCCCCATTTCTGACCTTATGATTGAGGGAAGGTCATTGATGAAGCAGCTGAAGATGGTTGGGCCTAGAACACAACCCTGAAGAACTCCAGCAGAGATGACTAATCTCCAACAACCACCACCATCTTCCTAAGGCCATGTATGACTCCAACTAGCATAGTTTCCCCCCAATTCCTATTGATTCCACCACCACCAATATTGTCATGGACAGATGCATCTGGGATAGAGCCAGGTCAAGCAGGCTTTGCCCTTTTCTTGGTCCCCTCACCTATCACCTATCACAAGCACAGGCTAACAGTTGCATCCTTTAGAAAATCAGTAGTGGTGCTACCAACCCACAGTTAGTGTTGGACTCTGAAGATGCCACTCAGATTATATACTCGCCACTCTCAGTGCTTCCTCCAGGTGGCATTCAACATGGAGGCTGCCACTTCTGGCACTGTCCTGCCAGTGGGACAAGATGTACCCAGGGATGTTGATGGTGGCCTGGGACATCACCTGTGAGGTATGAGTCTGTGAGTATGACTATATCAGGCTGCTGCTTGAATAGCCTGTGAGACAGCTCTCCCAATTTTGGCACTAACCCCCAGATGTTAGTGAGGAGAACTTTGCAGGGCCGACAGGGCTATGTTACTCCTTGTCGTTTCTGGTAGCCCAGTCAATGCCTAGTGGTCCACCTAGTGCTCTCTTATCAACAGAAAATATAGATTGGTTGTGGTTTGAAACAACTGAGGGGTTTCCTCGGCTGTTTCGGAGGGCAGTCAACCACATTGCTGTTGGTCTGGACTCCTATTTATGACAGACCAGTAACAGGTGGTACATTGGCTTCCTAAGCGTTATTATCAAACTAAGAGGATTCTTGGAACAATCAACAGTAGTCTCATGATCACCATTAGGCTAGCTTTCAATTTTATTGGATTCAAAATTCATCATCTGCCATCGTGAATTTCAAACCCATGTGCCCGAACATTAACCTGTGGTTTTGGATTGGTATTCCAACTATTCCACCAGCTCCCTGATTCTAAGATTCTATTCTAAGCCATAATTCCAGCTACACCCCTCACCCTGAAAATTTTCTTTTGTAAGTTTGGAATCTCATTCATACAGACTTTAAATATAGTTAGAGGTTATTAACAATCTGAAATTATTTTTAAAACTTTGTCTTTAATATCTTTCTGTAATTCCATCTTTCCGTAACTCTCGTTATTCTGTTGGCTGTATAGAGCGTCACAGAATCCCTAAAATGTGGAAGCAGGCCATTTGGCCCATAAAGTCCATACCAACCCTCCAAACAGCGTGCTACTCACATCTCTATCCCCATAAGCCTGCATTTAGCATGGCCAATCCACCTGACCTGCATATCTTTGGACTGTGGGAGGAAACCCACACTGATGTGGGGAGAATGTGCAAACTCCACACAGACAGTCTCTAAAAGGGTGAATCGAACCCAGGTCCCTAACGCTGTGAGGCAGCAGTGCTAACCACTGAGCCACAGTGCCACCCTACAATTTAAATGTAATTTATACTTACTATTTTGGCACCTCAGTGTCTCAGTGCTGGATTCTTCAGAATGAATGTTTGAAGAGCTCCTTTATTCCTTGCCCTGCTTACAAATACCATATTCCCCTGGAGCAGGGACCACCTTAGGTCGGTCACTCAGTGACAGCGAATCTGTGATAAACAGCCTATGAAGGTTCTGTGGCCAGTTGTCATCGAAGGGCAAGTGCTGCTCAACATCCTGCCTAACGACTAGTCATTCACTTTTATGTGGCTTCTTCATAGAATAGAATATTCTTTATTGTCAGGTGCACTAAGTCACTGCTACTTTTATCTACAGTATAGCAGTGACTGCATTTTGTAGTCAGGCTCTTTTGGGATATCACGGGTTTTGAAAGGGTCAAGCTTCTCCTTGTGGACCTGGGGTCAACTGAAGTAGGCTGAACCTGCAAAAATAGAAGTTCCAAAAATTCACAGCGAGACCCTGAGCACTGAGTAAAAAACAGCTTGTTTCACGTTTAAATCCTGATACATAATAAAAAGTGACACGCCTTCCTCATTGCTTAAAAAGTCTTTATTTTCAGATATATCTTCACAATAGATAAAAATCATTGTTCTATTGTGCAATAATGCGAAATGCCGAGTAACAAACAGTAAACAGATGAAACACAGACCATGATTCAGAGCCTATTGAGAGCTGAGTGGATGTGTTTGGATTTGGTGTCATGTGCTGGAAATTCTGGGACATTATGTGCAACGAGGGCCCAATCCTGGGCACTTTGGTGGACAGAGGGTGTGAGCTGAGGTCTCTGTCTCCCAACAGGCGTCTGTATCAGTCTGGTGTTAGAGTCAAATAAATAGACTTCAAAATGTCAGACTAGACAGAGAGAGTGCTCCATGATAAATAAGAGGTTTAGATTCCTGCTAAGGTTACCCTGTAGAGTTCAGAGTTTAGCAAACATTCTTCTAGGTGCTCACGTATTAAATTAATGCAAATTGAGGTGAGCTGTTTGGAAGGAAGCTGTTTGGACTGCTATGTAAACTCATCACATTTGGCTCCTGCAAAGTTCTCACAGGATTTCCATTCAATATTCGCAGTGTAAACGAGTTATGTTAAGACTTTGAGGGATGTCACATTTTACCTGCACAAGCTTTATAAACTAAGGGAACTCAATCTGATAAAAAGGTAATGAAGAGCAGGAAATTTATTCAGATGAAACTTTCTAGGCACTGTGATTTTCAATCTCCTCAGTAAGGTGAGGTGAAATGACAGGAACAAAGGGTTCTTGCCTGTGTAGTGATACTGATGTTGTAGAGGAACAATGTAATAAACATAACCGAGACCTGGTACGGCCTCTCAATTTTATTTAGAGTTGGCAAAAAGACTGGCATTCTTCCATTTTCATTGAGTCTTGCTCTTGTCAATAGCTCCTAATCCCTGATTGTGTCTGCCATATCCCAACCATTAATGTAAGAACAGTTAGCCTTATCATATGATTGGGAACTGGGGAAGAGTTCAGTTTAAAAATAAGGGCTGTCTCATTTAAGACAGAAATGAGGTGAGATTTTCCTCAGAGGGCCATAGGTCTTTGGAACTATCTTCCCCAGAAAGCAGTGGAGGAAGAAGTCAACCCAGTCTTTGTTTGACAAAGATTAATAGATTCTTGACTGAAAAGGGAGTGAAAGGTTTTTTTATGAGGGAGGCAGGTATATACATTTGAGGCCACAATCAAGTTAGCCATAATCCTGTTAATTGACACACCAGGCTAGACAGGCTGAGGGGCCTACTTCTCATATCTGTATGTTCATTTAAGATTCAAGTCCACTTCTTTGCTCAAATACACAGTTTTACCCAGGCAGCAAATATATCACAAAACATAATTCCAGAAATCCATGCAATGTTCTCCTACCTTCCTCCCTCCCCCTCAGAAACAGCTCTGAAATAAATGGTGGAGGGGCAAGTGTCATGGAATTATAAACACTTCAGCCTCACATAATATAGCTATCAAAAAAAAGTAAACCAGAAATCAGTGAATCCCAGTTTGGATGCTGTAGACTCTTTCTTGAGATATACCTCCAATATTTTTGATCCCTGAATTTTCATTCCCTGGGAGTAGATTTTTTGTGCCTTTGAATTCCATGGAAATAAAGAACAGATGGGATGTTCAAGGAGCTGTTGAAATGCTATCATCCGTCTTATATGATGGTACAAAGTCCATGTCTGAAGGTATCTATGATGCTGTAATGGTAAGAGAAGCAGATATTTTGGGAAGTCCGCTGACCAATGTTCCCAATCAATGCCCAGTATGAACAGCACAGAGAAGCATGTTGGATCTGGTGGTTTTTTTACAATGGGCCAGTTAAAATTCAACCATGTTGTTGTGGGTCTGGAGTCATGTACTGGCCAGTTGCCTTTTCTCAAGAACTGTAACAGCCTCTTTAATCCTGACCACTATATGCTCCTTCTCTTTCTCCTTCTCTGTTATTCCTGAAAACTTGAAAACCAGGCATATTAAGAGCCCATTCATGGGCCTCATTTGAGCTCTGTTAGAATGCCACCAGGCCATATATGTGGCAATTTGTGTCTGTAACTCACCAACCTTATTAGTTACATGATATGCACTAAGTTTAAACCTCCTTTGTCACTTTGAGAAGCCCCGAGATTGTGAAATACTTTAACAGTAGGTTCCCTCAGTTTCAGGGTAGCGAGACACACCATTGAGAGTAAGTTGCAGAGAGAAACAGATATACAGACATTATCCAGCAGTGGTCAGCAAAACCACTTAGAGCCATTGGTCGTTTTGGGTTAAGTCTTCAAATATATAACATCCATTGCACACAGCCTCTATACCTGACTCTTCTTTGCTTCCAGAGGGACCCCACGGTGAGATCCACTCACTGATGGCAAAAGCAGGCTGTAAAAGGTGCTGAGGTCTGAGAGCAGAAGGCAGTGCTGCTTCTTCTCCTCCCTGATGACCAATTTGTCACCACTTTTATCCTTTTTAACCCCTTACAGTCTGGTAGCAATGACAAAGATCTCTGGATCCTGCTGTGGGGCTTTACTGCGAACTGCCACAGAGCTACCTCCCATTCTCTTCCTGTTGATTTTCCGAAACTCCTCATTGATTTCCAGGATAGTTTTTCCTTTTGTTTCTGGGAGAATGATGAAGATGAACACAGCGATGATCAGGCAGTCACCCAGGAAGATCAGGAAGCAGAATGGGCCCAGTCCCTCCTGGAAGAAGCAGAAAGAGAACAGGGTCAGGCTGGCTTAAATAAGCAAACCCTTGCAGTGTAATGGTCAGTTATGTAATACTGTGATAGCTAAGGTGAGAACAGATCTGTAGTCAATAATCTGTACTAGAAAACTATATTGCAGAGACCAAAAACAGAAATTGCTGGAAAAACTCAGCAGGTCTGGCAGCGTCTGTGCAGAGAAATCAGAGCTAACGTTTCAGGTCATGTGACCCTTCCTCAGAGCTGAACCATTAATTCGGATTTCTCTCCATAGATGCTGCCAGACCTGCTGAGCTTTTCCAGCAATTTCAGTTTTTGTTTCTGATTTACAGCATCTGCAGTTCTTTCGGTTTTTATATTACAGAGAAATTGTGTAAATAAACCAAATCATTGAAACTCCTGAGAGTCAAACATTAGTTACTCTTAGGTAAAGCAGAGACTGAGATGTAGTGCACTAAGAGTGGAGACAGTGTGGTCTAAAAGGGAACAGTCTCGCAGTATTCGGAAGCCAGAGTCTTATGGCAGGTGAACCCATAAAGACAGATCAGCAAGAGGCTGCATCAGTGAAAAGCAACTGAAACCACTCACCTTCATGTTTGGTCATCAGAGTTTGCTTATTGATATTTAAACAAATAAAACCCAAACAACATCACATCAGTTCTTCCAGAAATACCTCAAAGGAATTCAGATGCAAATGAACTTTGGAATACTTTGAAATTCAGTTGATCCCGATAACCATTTTTGCGCAGAGCAAAAATAAAAACAACGATTGACCAGTGAATTTGTTCTCCGTGCTATTTAAAAGTTAAATGTTGCCAGGAAATTTCCTGGATCTTTGAATAGTCTTTTATGTTGACGAGAGGGCAGGTAGAGTTTCTTTCTGGCTCCAACAATGCAGCACTCCTTCAGTACTGCAAAGGGAATGTGAGTCTAGGTTCCAAGTCAATGCAACTACCACTGATTTTTGAAAAATAAAGTCTGGTTTACTAAAGTCCTTTAGGGAAGGACGTCTGACATCCTTACCCAGTGGCAAACTCTTAACCGCCCCCTGAAATGGCCAAGCAAATCTCTCAGTTCAAGATCAATTGTGGATGGTCGACAAATACTGCTAGTGATGCCTAGATTCCATAAAACAATGAAAAAAATGGAGTGGAATCAGAAACCTGAATGTTCTGACACAGATGGCTATACGTCCTCTGATGGGGGAACCCCAGCCAAGTGACAGAACATTAAATTGAGATGTAAATTGTCCAGGGATGAGAAGGGGTATTGAAATCTGGAGTGTATTCCCCCAATAAGAGAGGTAGCAAGAACTGCAGATGCTGGAGTCAAAGATAACACAGTGTGGATCTGGAGGAACACAGCAGGCCAGGCAGCACTGGAGGAGCAGGAAAGTTGATGTTTCGGATCAAGTTTAATCTCCAGGATCAATGGGCAGAAGATGATTAAAAAAAACACAAGGATATTTAAGATAGGAAAGGACAGATAATCTATGTACTCAAATTTGAGTCAATTCTGTGTAAGAGTCAACCCCCAGACTTTGGCTACAAAATCTTTAATTTTTTGTATACCGCATGGTAGTTTTGGAAGCAAGGTTTTTGGGAATGGCCGAGTGTAGTGCTGCCCAAATATTTTCCCACTGAGACCTGATATCAAGGCTTAAAAATTGTCCTGACCTCCCTCAGTGAAGGCTGCGAGTGGAAGGTAAGTGGTCTGTGGGATTGTTAGAGCAGGACGACAGTTGTTATAAAGTGGTCAGAACTCCCTGGTGACCATTGCTGCCTTTGAACTCAGGACCTTAAAATTTCAGCTCGCAAACCCACTAGGGATCCTGACACTTTGCAAAGCCCTGATGTCGTGAGTATTTTCCTTAATTGCTGTTATTTGGGGGCGGCATGGTGGCTCAGTAGTTAGCACTGCTGCCTGACAATGCCAGGGACCCAGGTTCAATTCCACCCTCAGGTGACTATCTGTGTGGAGTTTGCACATTCTCCCCATGTCTGTGTGGGTTTCCTCCCACAATCCAAAAATGTGCAGGTTTGATGGATTGGCCATGGGAAATGCAGGGTTACAGGGATGGTGTGAGGAATGATCTGGGTGGGATGCTCTTTGGAGGGTCGGTGCAGGCTCAATGGGCTGAGTGGCCTCTTTCTGCACTGTTAGGATTCTGTTCTATGATTTCAGTTAAACACCAGAAATACTGGAGGAGAGTCTGAGACAGCAGCTGCCTGCTGATTTCAGCACCACGGCCAGCGATCAGCGTCAGTCATCACCAGAAATCACATGATGCCAGGTTATAGTCCAACAGGTTTATTTGAAAACACAATCTTTCAGAGCCTCAGTCCTTCTACAGGTGTCAGTGAGAGAGGTAGTATCAGACACAGAATTTATACGCAAAAGATCAAAGGTTCACATCATTGATGAGGATGTACTACACAAACCTAAAATACTATGATAACAAGGTGTAAAGCTGGATGAACACAGCAGGTCAGGCAGCATCAGAGGAGCAGGAAAGCTGACATTTCGGGTCTGGACCCTTCTTCAGAATCAGTTAGAAGGTTTTAATTGATTAATACATATATGTAAATCCCCAAAATCCTTCAAGTCACGGTCCTGAGAGAACTAAAGGTTTTATCAGTGTAAAGATGAGGTGACGTTTTAGGTCAGACAATGTATGTTAGGTGTGAGAACTTGTTTAGAATCTGTTTGTCATAGATCATAGGAGGTAGAGTGTGTGTGTGTAAGGGGGTGGATAGTGTGTGTATGTGGGGGGTGGAAGAGAGAGTGTGTGTCTGAGTGTGTGTGTGTGTGGGGGGAGGGGAGGAAGGAGAATGTGTGTGTGTGTGTGAGGGGAGAGAGACAGTGTGTGCGTGTGTCTGTGTGAGCGTGTGTTTGAGAGAGAGAGAGACAGTGTGTATGTATGGCTCGGCCAATGTTGTCTCACTCATATGCTGCAGGCAAGGATGCCCCGAGGCATAGTACATTAGCAAGACCATGTAGATGCTAAGATAATGGATCAATGGACACTGCGCAACAATCGCCACATAGGAATGTTCCCTCCCGGTAGGAGAACACTTCAGTGGTTAAGGACATTTGGACTCAGATCTTTGGGTAAACATCCTTCAAGGCGGACTTTGGGATACACAATCACACAGAATTGCCGAGCAGAGGCTGATAGTGAAGTTCAGTCCCCATGAGGACGGCCTCAACTGGGATCTTGGCTTCATGCTGCACCACAGGTGACCCCACCACATTATACACTCACACACACATGCATACATACACATGCACTCACTCTCACACACACACACACACACACATTGTCTCTCTCTCTCTGTCTCACACACACACACTGTCTCTCTCTCTCTCTCACACACACACACACACTCTCTTTCTCCCATAAGCACACTCCCACACACACAGACACACACACACTCTCTCCCACATGCACACCCACACACGCATGCATACACACACTCTCTCACACACATCCACACACAGTCTCTCTCTCAAACACAAAGTTTCTCTGCCACACACACACACACACACAAAAACTCTCTCTCCCCCCCCACACACACACACACTCTCCCTCCCCCCCTCACACACACACACACTCACTGTCCCCCATTCACTCACACACATTTCCCCCCCTCCACACTCTACACACACACACACACACACACGTGAATCTATGGGGTGAATTTGTATTTGCAGATACATTACATTTTGTTCAAAAAGCACACAATTTATAGACACTCAGTCAATATGACATTTTTTAAATTCCTGCTTTAGAAATAAAACCAGTTTGACTCCAAACTAAAACACAAACAGATTCTAAACGAGGCCTCATACTAACATGCATTGTCTGACCTAAAATGTCACCTCTTCTTTACACTGATAAAACCTTTAGTTCTCTCAGGACTGTGACTTGAAAGGAATTCAGAGATTTACATATACATATTAATCAATTAAAACCTTCTAATTGATTAAAGATTTAACAACATCTTAGGTTTGTTTAGTACATCCTCATGAATGGTGTGACCCTTTAATCTTTTGCCTATAAATTTTGTGTCTGATATTACCTCTCTCACTGACACCTGAAGAAGGACTGATGCTCCGAAAGATTGTTTTCAAATAAAACTGTTGGACTATAATCTGGTGTTGTGTGATTTCTGACCTTATCCACCTCAGTCCAACACCGGCACCTCCACATCATTGTCATTACCAGTAGTTTGACAGTTCAAAATAGTTGACTTGGAACACAAACCCTCTAATACTCTAGTCATAAAAGTTGTCCCCATACATTTTACCTAAAGGTTTGGTTTCAGAAACCCAGCTTTCATACAGTAGTTGATAAACTTTATCAAACCCAGAGAGGATAAAATCCTGGATTACAATAGGTTAAATCCAAGCAAGTTAAAAAACATTGTTGAAGGGATGGCAGAGTCATCATTGCATGTATGTAAAAATTAATTAGGAAAAGAAATAATGCTAGAGAACTGCAGGACAACTCATGTGATCCCCAAATTTAGAAAGATCGATAAAACAAATCCTGCAAAGCATAGACTAATTAGTTTGCCATCAGCATCAGGAGAGATAAGGGCAATAATTTAATGGAAAATGTCTAGCCACAACAATATAAATAGCCAGCATAGATTTTAAAAGGCAAGGTCATTTTTGATCAATGTTATTTAACTCTTTAATGAAGTAACTGAGGGGATGGATAAGAATAATACAGTGGACAACACGCACTTGAGTTTTCGAAAGACCTTCAGTAATGTGGCACATAAAGGTCTCATGACTAAAATCAGAGCTTGTAGAGTCAGAGAACAAATAGCTGAACAGATAGTGAGCTTGGCTATAAAATAGAAAACAGAGAGTCAGAGTTAAAGATAGTAACAAAGACTGACACAAGGTGGTAAAGTCAAGTTTTAGATGGAACCATCACTATTCACAATTTACACAAGTGACCTACTGTTAGGAACCAGAAACACAATTTCAAAATTTGCATTTGCACCAAATTGTGGAGTAAAGTTAACACAGAAGAGGACCATGACAGAAGACGGGAAGACCTTAATAAACTTGCAGAATGAGCGTCTAATTGACAAATGAACTTCAATATATGTAACTGAGGTAACACATTTTAACTGGAAGAATATAGAGCCCACATACTCCTAGGAAAACACATATATAAATAGGTAGAGGAAGAGAGGGTATAGGGATACCAATACACTGGTCAACAAAAATATGGAGATACAGTTAATAAGGCCATTAATCAAATATTGGGGTTAATGTGTAGAGGAATAGAATTGAAAAATGGAAATTGTGTTAAACCTGTATAGAGCCTTAGTTAGACTGTGAACAGCTCGGGTCTCCTTATTATAGAAGGGTTGCAGAGGCAGTGTAACCTGGAGAAGGTGCAAGAAATGATTTACTCAAATAATACCAAAACCAAGAGGTTACACCCATCAGTAAAGACTGAGCTAGCTGGGGCTGCAGAAAAGAGAAAGAGAAGGTTGATTTGATTGAAGGAGGAGTTGAGGCAAATAGCAGAAGGGGAAATTAGAGACACCGATGAGGTAGAAAGATCAGCTGATCAGATGAGATGAAGCAGGGTGAGAGGATGAAGCCAGCATTGACCAGTTAAATGGGCTGTTTCTCTGCTTTAAATACAGTGTAATTCTTTGTAATAAATTCTTGATGAGTCCGGGCATAATACAATATAGAACCAAATCTTGTAGAAGGAGTTAAGATATAGATAATCCATAATGAAAGAACAGAATCAAAGGCCTGAACACCTTTCCCTATATTCCTAAAAAACTGAGATCTGTTCATGGTTTTCCCGGTGAATGTTATACTGAGGAGCCTCCTGTTTCAGGGTTACTTGTGACCTTACTCACCACAATAAATGGGAAGATCATTCCCAGAAGGACAAGGCCCAGCCACTGGAACGAGCCATTTATCACAAAGGCTACAGGTCGATAAGACTGAGTGAAGATTTCGAAAGGGATGATCGCAGTCACTCCCGCTGGAGAAACAAAACACCTTCTCAGTGCCTGATATCAAGCTGTTTCTGTCAACAATTAATTCAGCTCACCAAACAACACCAGTGCTAAGGCACTGATCACCCCATCAGCCCTGCCCTGCGCCACGATGCTGTGGCAATGCTCCTCTCCATCCCCTCCCCCACTTCACTACAACTGGAACATTCTCCCTCCCCCCTCCAAATGACCTCTTTCTGTCCCATTACAACTCTATGAGGGTGATTCTCTCTGACAGAACACTGCTGTCCATCATCTGATTCACCCCCGCCCCTCTCCCACCTTCCTGTCTCATCCTGAGAGACTCATCCTTCCCCATCTCACTGTCCCTCTGTGGGACACCCATTCACTCTGGTGGGTCTCCACCCCCCACCCCTTCTTTCCCTGGCGAGATACTCCCCTCCCTTCAAACTGGTGGGACTCCCTCTCCCCTTCCCACCAGTGAGATTACCCCCTCCCTCTCATGGGACACTGGTGGGACAGGTCCCCTCCCCTTCATTGCTGCTCCAGTTGGCCAGTGAAAGCCACAGTGAACTCACCAGGACCAATTCCATAGCTGAAGATATACGCAAAGATGAGGAATATGCTGCAGTAAGGCATCCAGGTGAACTGATGCTGGAAAACAAGATATTGATGGAGAATTGAATACTACACACAGAAGGATCCAGTAATCCTACAGCAGAGAGTTTTTTGATCATCTCTGAGTAACAATGTCACAAGTATTCACGACACCTATCAGTGTGTCACACTTTGAGGGCACAGTCAGAATGAAAGGGACAACAGGCAGACTAGCAACTCTAAGGTTATTTAGTGAATCCAAATCCTGAAGTGAAGTGGTAGTCTCCTCATTTGCTGAGTTACTGGTAATTACATACGTGGTCTTTATGGGGTCACTCCTCAGTGGTAATTGGTTATGTGTCTCCACAAGTGCATTAGAGATTTGTACGTAGGCCCCAGTGCTAGACATTGGCAGTGTAGAGTTCCTGGCATTTCCTAAAACCTCTTTAGCAAGGACTACTTTCTGAGTATTCAAAGCTATTTGACAGATAGAGTTTGTCACAAGGAACTTGTTTGTGACTTCCTAAATGCCCCGTTCCTGCCTCCAGAGGATGTTTGCTGGGAGATCCTGCTCAGGAATGTTGTTGGTGGTGATATAGAAGGTAGGCAGGTTGAAGTGGAAACCATGGAGTGGTGAGAAAGATGCAGGGCAGATGGTTTCAACTGACCTGTGAGTTTCCATGAATGGAAATGTTGATGTATGGGGAAGCAATGTTTGTGAGGACATGAAGATAGAGAAGGGTTGGTTGAATGGAGGGTACAATGGATCAGCATCCATACTGTGACCCCATCAATAACCAGATACCCTGGGTCAAAGCAAATGATCCTACCAGCAGACTGAATTCCAAAAGAATGTTAAAGGACTCTGACGGGGGCCTCTTATGAAATTGCGGTTCCCAGCACCACCATTCTCAATATTGAGCAAATGTCAGGCTTTATCCTAATAGGGCACACTTTCCAAATGTTACAATCCAATCAACCTCATCAAATGCCTCAATTAGATTCCAGTCTGTAATTCACTTGCATATTTGTTTTCTGAACATATATTTTTGTGTTGTGGATGTCAGTGACTGGGCCAACATTTATTGCCCATCCCTCATTGCCCTTGAGAAGGTCATCGTGATGAGCTAACTTGCTGAAAATTTGCTGTCTACATTGTGTATAAAAACACCACCAAGCCCCTTGATAAGATTCCAGCCTATAACTTTCTCCTTAGCACTGTTACTCTCTCTATACATAAACCATTATGTATGTAAACCAGTGATTATAGGGTCCAGGCTCAAATCCTCACCTGCAGAGGCAGAGTAACACACAGGAGTGCTGCCCACAGGGTCATGAGGCTGTATCCTTTCCAAAGTAAGGCCTTTCTCCCATCTCGCTCAATGAAAAATCCCTATTCATAAATAAACAAAAGGATTTCAGCAACATCAGTGAGATATGATGCTCCAACAATATATACAAAGCCAATTCTCTCTCTCTCTCCATCACTTCCAATTCGACTGTCACTTACAGAAACCATGGATGTCAGCAGAAGTGTTGCACCGGCCCCCAGCACCACGTATGGTATCGTCCAGTCAGGAATTCCAGCTTCCTGGAACACTTCAGAAGAGTAGAAGTAAATCTGGGAAGAGAAACCAAATATATCTTAAATCTGATATCTTTCTTTCGCTACAAAAGTGCACAAAATTAAGTGCGCCTTAATCATCTGTCTTAACACTCATTCTGTGCGTGCATCTTTCCTTTTAGGTTAGCTCTCCTGTCACTATCACTGGCTGTCAATTAGCTCATGTGTGTCTGGGTTTGTACATCTCGAAGTTTATGTTTGTATGTGTGTGTTTATATGTGTATGTGTGTGTCTCTAAGTCGTTATCAGTGTTTATGTTTGCACACACATGCACACAACATGTGAGTGTGTGTGCCTGTGTGTGTGTATGTCTCTTCATGTGCGTGTCAGTGTGTATATCTGACTTGTGTGTGTGTGTATGTGTCTCAATGTATGTATTACTGTGTGAATCTATATGTCAATTGATGTTTGATCTATATTGTGTGTGTCAATTTCAGTATCAGTGTGTTTGTGTCAGTGTGTGCATATGTGTCTGTGTGTGTGTATCTGTGTGTCAGTGTATGTATCTGTAAGAGTGTCGTTCCTCTGATTCTATCTCCTTTTGAGCCTTTTACACCATCTTTATTCATCTTTCATTTTGCACTGTCTTGCCTTCGATCAGTTTCTAACATGTATTAACCTTTGTCTCTTATTCTGTCTCCTGCACTGCAATGCTGGTCGCTGATTAAATGCCGTGTCTACTCACTGCATTGATACCACAAAGCTGCATAGCGATGGTCAGCATGATGTTGGTAATGAGCTGCCAGCGTACTGAGCGATCTTGGAACAGCTCCTTGGCAGTCTTTGCTCGCTCTCCCTTTGCAGCAGCCTGCTCAGCCTCCATATCCTGGACCTCCTCAAAGAAGTCTCCCTGACCCCAGAGTCTCCGCAGAGCTGTGGAGAAATAACCAAAAACACAGGCACTTATTTCAGGGGTAGCTTCACCAAAACCCAACAGAGCCTTTGCTTACAAAACTACCAGAAACAGCATGAGGCGCTGACCCATACTCTCCACCTAGTTTCGGTTAACCTGCAACCCAGGTCTTGATTTTAAAATTGCCGTCCTTATTGTCAAATCTCTCCACAGCCTCGACCCCTCCTTAACTTCACAGAAACAAATGAGAAAAAAACCTGCAAATGACAAACACTGGTCCACCTTGCCTTCACAATGGAGGTTCATTTCCAAATATCACTGTTGCTGCTTTTCCCCTTTGGATCCATAAAGTACTTCAACCCCAAGAACTCTCTGACACATCTGCAGTTTTGAGGTAGCACCTCAACACTGCACCACTGGCAAGTCATGCCTTCAGTTTTGATGTCCTGAGCTCGAGAAACCCTCATTTTCCACCTCTCTATCTCCCTCTCCTCCTTTAGGATGCTCTTCAAAGCATGTCCTTGGATAAGCTGCTGTTCAGTTGCCTAAATAATCCTTTTTTGCAGCGAGATGTCACTATTGAATGGATTAGGATGTTTGGCTGCTCAAAATGGCTGGAAAATCTCACAGAAAGGGAAGGGGACACAAATAATGCAGGGCCGTGCCACAATTTGTGGTTTTTGTAAATAAACAGAAAAGAGAAAATGGTTCACAGTTTGCCTCTTTTATGGTTACTGAACATGTTCGATTGTTAAATTGTGGTAATCAACATCTTATCTACCATTGGGATAATTGACTATTTGGCTAAACTCCTTTATGATAAATCTAACCCGTGAAAAGCAGATTCCCCTACACATTCCCCACCACCCAAACCCTCTCACACTCACCTTCCACACAGAGGACCTTGTTGCCCTTGTCGATCAGGAGGTATCTGGGGCTCTCTGGGAACCATGGCAGCAGCACCAGCTGAATGAGGGCAGGCAGGCCACTGAAGGCTAGCAGCAATGGCCAGGCTGCCTCAGTGCCCAAAATCTCCCTGAGGAACAACAAAGACAGTGAGGTCAGAAAGCAGTGGACACTGGCCATTAGGCCAAGTGCAGTGCCCTTATATAGCCAACAGAAAGGAGCACTGACAACTGACTGTGTTGCTAACACAATCCCATTTACCCATATGAGGAGAAAACATATTACGCACAATGCAGGTAATTACACTAAACATGCAGATTTAAACTCTTCAATATTTAGCAAGTATCTAACATCAATCAATAACTAAGAAAGGCAAACACTAGCACTCTGGTTTTTGATGATTTTACAAACTAAATGAACAGGAGAGTTGAGGCTTATTGCATGCTCTGTGCTACGAAAAGCATTTAGATTACATATCCATTGCAGCTTATCAATATTTTTATTTTCTGATCAGTAATTCTTTGCATCTAGATTCCCAAAGTAGCCATCTGTTAGCCAGCAGGTTTGATACTCTTGAGATTGAGCAAGTAGTTTAGTAGTTAAGGGAAGGGAGGGGCACTCATTGAAAGCTGTCAGGCCTCAAGCTCTAGAATTCCCTTAGCTGTGTCTCTCTTTCAAAATGCTCCTTACATTCTACTCTCCTGACTAAGGTTTCAGTTGCCTGTCTTAATGTCTCCTTCATTGGTTTAATGTTTGTTTTTATCTGATTATGCTCCTGTGAGGCACGTTGGGATGTTCAACATTGATAAAGGAAGTAAGTAAATGTAGATTGTTGTTATTTGTTATTATTAGCAGTAATAAGTGATTCAGAGAGACTCTGGTTGTTTTGGGGCACTTGGAAACCGAGAGAATGTGACGGAGATGGGGAGTGGCACAAGGAGACAGAAAAATAGTCGCAAGGTCCAATATGACACCAATCTTCAAAATGGTTAATTTCATCAGGGCTGTGATGAAAGTGTTATGCACCCCACAAGAATATGTAAATATTTTTTAAAACTTAATTTAAGTTGAACCAGGGAAAATATTAAATCTCCGGTTATCAATGGCAAGCAGCCTGAGTGAAGTACTGGGTGAGATTTGTATTTGCGAGGATTGAGATCTTACCTGAGTCCAACCACTTGTCCAATGAATTTACCAAAGGCAACAAACATCGCTCGGGTCAGAGATACAAGGCCTCGCAATTCCTTTGGTGCACTCTCGCCAAGATACATACTGTGAACGTTGAGGCCAATACCTTCAAATAACAGAATTTAAAAAAAACTGATAAAAGGAAAGCTCCCTCACTTCATAGCCCATTTTTACAAATCATGCCCACCTCTCGGATATGGTTTGTCTCATTTGCATTGTCTTTAGTTGGCCTGTAACCGCACTTTTTCTAAATCATGTGACAGTTTACAAAAAGCAGAATGGTAGCTGTCAAAAATGCATTCAATAGTGCAGTCATCAGTAAGACACTGGACAGCAATCAATAACACACACACAATACAGCCATCTGCAAACACACTCAAAATAC